AAATATATTTTCAAATATATTGGACAAACATGCGAATGGACTTGCTAATAGCACAAACAGGAGGGACGCAAAGCTGTATTGGAATAAGGAGATGACACTAGGTAGTAACTCAAATCCATAAAAACAAATGAAGAGAACCAGAAATGCAAAAGAAAAATGTTAATATAACAAAATCTATAAATACGTATCTGCTTTTCTTTATTTTTGCACATTCTTTAGCAGGCATACAAATGCCCGGAGTGTTAATTATAACAATATACTATTGGACTTGTAACATATGTAGATGCAATATGAATGAATAGCAATAATAGCACAATAATATGATAAAAATGGGAAGAGGAAATGAGCTATATAGGAGTAACATTTCTATAGCTCATTCAAATTAAGACATAAATCTGAAGCCGATTCTAAGGTAAGATTTATATGTTAAGTCCTAGAGCAACCCCTAAAGAATTAGCCCAAAAATATAGTGAAAAAAATCATTAAGGGAATTAAAGCACTACACTGGGAAATAATCACTTCATGCATTAGAAAGCAGTAAAGAAATACACGAGTGGGACTACATCAAACTAAAGAGCTACACAGCGAAGAAAACCATCAAGAACATGAAAGGGAACCTACTAAATCGGTGATAATACTTACAATCTATGTATGTAATAAAGGGTTAATATGCAAAATATGTAAAGAACTTATTCAACTCAGAGCAAAAACACAATGATTTTAAAATGGGCAGAGGAACTAAAGAGACATTTGCCAAAGAAGACATCCAGATGGTCAATAGGTACATGTATAGGTGCTCAGCCTCACTAATCATCAGACAAATGCAAATCAAAACCATAATGCGCTAGCACTCATCAACACCCATTAGAATGGCTATTATCATCAGTAACACAAGACATAACAGGTGTTGGTGAGGATGTGAAGGAAAGAGAACCCTCGTGCACTGCTTGTGGGAATGCCCATTGGTGCAGTTGCTATGGAAAACAGTATGGAGACTCCTCAAAAAATTAAAAATAAAACTACCAGATGATCCAGCAATCTCCCTTCTGGTTATATATCTGAATAAAATGAAAACACTAACTCAAAAAGATACGTGCACCCCAAGTTCACTGAAGCATTATTTACAACTGCCTTGACATGGAGGCATCCATCAGCGGATGTATGGAAAAAGAAAGTGATATATATATAATGGAATATTATTCAGCCATAGAAAATGAAATCTTGCCATTTGTGACAGCATGGATGGACCTTGAGGCGCTATGCTATGTGAAATGAATCAAACAGAAAAAAACATAGTATGCCTCCATTTACATGTAGATACATATAGATTCCACTTGTATGTAGAATCTAAAAAAAAACTGAACTCAGAAGCAGAGAAAAGCTTGATGGTTACCAGCAATGGGGATATGGGGCAATGGGTGAAGGGGGTCAAAAGGTACAAACTTCCAGCTAAGAGATAATTAAGTTCTGGGATGTAATGTACAGTATGGTGACCATAGTTAACACTAGTGTATTGTATATTCACAAGTTGCTAAAAGTAGATCTTACAAATTCTTATTTCTTACACAAGGGAAAAACTGTAATTGTGTGAGGGTAAAATTGTAATATTTCCAGAATATCTCGCCTGGTTGTAGTGGATCTGCATATCAACAGGCATTCCTCAGGGGTGGAGAAAAGTTCGTCTCTATATCAGTGGGTAATTACCTGGGCAACGGCTTGTCTGAACCTGAGAGGTTAGGGGGAGGTCTTGCTTGCTTCTGCCTGAGCAGGAAAGAGACAGCCCCAGATTGCAGTTTGTAAGCAATAAACAGGTTTTAAACTTTATTTCTCCCGTTGACTGATTTAGATTTTAGAGGTATTTGCCCCAGGATTTCCTTTCCCCAGACTTACAGAGGTAACAGATGTGTTTTATTTTTTTTATCTGAAACACTGTAATTATGTGAGGTAATGAATGTGTTAAACTTACTATGATGATCATTTTGTAATACACATAAGTCAAGTCTTTATGATGTACACTGACAAAAAACACACTGTTATATGTCAGTTATATCTCCATAAAACTGGTGGGGAAAGAAGGAAAGCTGTACAGGAAGCATAGAGAACAAAAAAGACATGAGACACAGAAAATAAAAAGTAAATGACAGAGGAAATGTTAAAATGACAATACTCCCCAGATTGAACTACAGATTCAACACTATCAAAATCCCAACTGGCTCCTTTGTAGCAATTGACAAGCTGACCCTAAAATTCATATGAAAATTCAAGAGACCCAAAATAGCCTTTTTTATCTTGAAAAAGAAGATCAAAATTGGAGAATTCACACTTCCCAATTCAAAACTTACTACAGCAATTAAAACAGTGTGGTACTGGCATAAAGACAGACACAGAGATCGATGGAATAGAACTAAGAATCCAAAAATAAATGCATTTATTTTCAACAAGACAGTTCAAAGGGGAAAATAATAGTCTTTTCAACAACTGGTGCTGGAATAACTGGATATCCACATACAAGGGAGTAAGTTTGGACCCTTGTCTCACACCTTATACAAAACTAAGTCAAAATGGATCAAAGACCTATGTGGAGGAGCTAAAACTATAAAATTCTTAGAAGAAAATATAGACATTAACTTCATAACCTTAGATTTAGGCAACAGTTTCTTAACTATGGCACCAAAAGCATCAAAAGAAAAGGTAGATAAATTGGACTTCATTAAAATTAAAAACTTTCATGCTTCAAAGGATCCCACCAAGAAAATGAATACATAACCCACAGAATGGAAAAATATTGCAAATCTTATGTCTGATAAGGAATTTGTATCTGTCGAATATGTAAAGAACTCTAACAACTCAATATTTTTTTAACTCAGTTTTAAAATAGGTAAAGATTTTTTAATAGACATTTTTTCAAAGAAAATATACTTTTGGCTAATAAGTACATAACAAGATGCCTAACATCATTAGCCATCAGAGAAAAGCAAACCAAAACCACATGAGATTCACTTCACACTCACTAGCACAGTTAGAATAAAAAAGATGAATAATAAAAAGCATTGGCGAGGACATGGAGAAGGAATCCTCATATTGCTGGTGGAATGTAAAATGATGCAAGTTTAGAAAATAATGTGACAGTTTAAACACAGAATTACAATACGACCCAGCAATTCCACTCCTAATTATATACCCAAGAGAAATGAAAACATACATTGACTCAAATATTTGCTTGCAAATGTCATGATCTCTTTACTTCCAATAGCCAAACAGTAGAAACCACCCAAATGTCCATCAAGTGATGGATAAACAAAACATATCCATACAATACAATAGTATTCAGCAGTAAAAAGAAATTAAGGACTGATCCATGATATGTGAATGAACCTTGAAAACATTTTGCTAGTGAAAGAAGCCAATCGTGAAAGACCTCATTTCATATGATTCCATTTAGGTCAAATGTTTAGAATAGGTGAATCCACAGAGGCAGAAAGCAGATTCCTAGTTGACTAGGGTTGGGGGCATGGGGAGGGTATGGGAAGTGACAGTGAATGGTAAAGGGCTTCTTGGAGAACTTTTGGATATTGCTAATCCTAAAGCTAAAACTCAGTTCTTTTATCAGCAGAAATAGGTTTATTTAGAAACAGAAGAGAATTCCAATTCAGGACATGCAAACTACAGCAAAGCCAGAGGCAAGTTCAGAGAACAAAGGAGAAAACCTCTGTTTTATAGAGGAAAGGGTGAGTTGGCAAGAGCTAGTCTAAGCAAAAATACTTTGGAAGAAACTGGGAGTTCCACCAATGGTGGCAGCTCATTGGCTGAACTGTCACACTCTCTCATTAGCTGGGCTGTTGCTGGGACAAAGAAATCTCCCTCCCACTGGGTAGGAAAGTGGCTAATACGGTTGCTTTTAAAGTGTTCCTTTCTTTGGTGTGGTCTGCAATGACCAGGGGTGGTAGGCATGAGAGGTCCCCCTGCTTGTTTCCTGAGGACCATGTCAGAGAGGTTTCCCTTCATTAATTTTCACAATATTCTAACTTTTATGGTTAAGGTTGTACAACTCTGCATATACCAAGTATTTCATAAATGTGTCTTTAAGTGTAGTAAAAACCAGTGAATTGTACAATCTAAATGGGTAAACTGCATGGTATGTTAACTGTATCTCAACAACGCTGTGATTTACTTCTTAATTAAAAAAGAAAAATGCTGATTGGACTCAGATGTCACCTCCTCCCAGAGCTCCCCCCACCCCCTAAAATAAATCCTCCAATGTATTCTCTCTTCTCACCTGACATCGTGAGTTGTTTGTGGTTCTTTGCATTTCTATCTTCAGCTTTCCCCTCCAGGAGAGACTTTTGTTGGAGCAAACCGCTAAGCTCAGAGCCCCTCAAAGGAGGGGACTGAACCTTGATCAGTTCTTACCCACCCCCATCCCAATGCTTCCTCGCCATCTGCACTGGATGCAAGATGGGTCTGCATCTCTCCTACTACAAAATACAAATCACGCCCCCAAACTAATAACTAGCATTCCAACGCTTAATGAATATTAGCGCTTTTTAATTGCTGATTGCTCTGTGCCTGACGTTTTATACCGCTTACTTAATTATTGTAAATTTCTAGGAGAAAAACAGTTGTATCATTTCCATTTTACAGATGAGACTCTCAGGTCCGTGACTAAAGACCTCCGTAAGACGTCTCGGGGGAGACGAGACACGGAGTGGGGAGAAGCTCCACGATCTGATCAAAAACACCGCCGCCCACGCAAAGTCCGGTTCTACACAGCAGCACGGGAGAGGTACTTTTCAACCCGCGACACAAACTCCTGGGGCTGCCTGCAACTTCCGGGATGCCCCGCGCGCCGACGCTCCCTTACAGGCCGCGGCGGTACAGTAGCGGCTAGCCCGTTGCCTCTTGGGAGTTGTAGTCTCATCATGAGAGGCGGGACTGTAAGAGGTTGGTGAATCCGGAGCCAACCAAGAAGTGTATTTTGTTGAGCGCAGGACCAAAAGCCAATGGGCACGCGGCTTCGAGAGGGCGGGACTTCCGACATAGGAGTCTTTGTGCGCGGCGGCTTGAGGCTGGATACCTCTTTTTGTGGGTGGCGGCGAGCGTGCGCGGATCGCCATGAAGGCTTCGGGCACAGTAAGGGGGACGCAGCGGACCAGGGGCCCGGGGAACGCGGCGCGGAACGAGCTGGGACCCTCGGGTGGTGGCTGGGGCCTCTTTGGGGGGACCGTGCCCCTTGCTGGGGACCGCGCGCCGTTGACCCCAGGCGCAGCCAACATGGCGGCCACCGCGGGCGCCGCATGGGGAGGCCGGTGTTTGGCCCGGGCCTGCTCGTGCTCGCCGGGACCGCGGAGCGGGATCTCCTTTCCAAGGAAAGAGACAACTTGTGCGGCTCGGAGGGTCGCTCCACGGGACCTCGTCGAGGCTCCGAGCCTTAGTTTCCCCATTTGCAGAGTGGACATGGTTGCTGCGGGTGGGGGCTGGGGGTGGGAAGGGGAGCAATAGTATATCTATTATCGCGGCAGAGCTATGAAAAGTAGAAGGTGGTTGTAAATCTGAGCTGATAGAAGGAATGCGAGCCTTGGTTCTGTGGCAAGTGCTTGGCAGAGTCAGGGGACGATGGCTCAGAGATGGAAAAGCAGGACCTGCGGAGAAACAGGGCTTGTGGGTCACGTACAGCTCTCCAGCTTTAGTTTCCACCCTGGGAAAGCGGTCGGCCGCATCGGTCTCTTCCTGAACGGGTGGTCCGCTCGGCTGACAAGTCAGGTTGAGAGGTGGAAGTAGGAGCCGAGTTAGAATTCTTTGGGGGCTGTTGTCTGCTGGTATTAAGTAAAATGACAGTCGCTTACAGAGGTGGTTTGTCTGCTGTATTGCAGAACCTGGACTTCGCACACATCCTCATATTTGCATCTGTGTGAACAGGGAGCTTCCAGTTGGCAGTTCAGACCCCCTTGGGCTGCAGTGCAGGGAGCCCAGGACTGGGGAACAAACTGGATTTCTTGTCTTGGGTCTGCCTGGAGTAGGCCGTGAGATCCCAGACTGGTCACTGTCTCTGAGCCGTAGGAAGGACTGGGGAACAAACTGGATTTCTTGTCTTGGGTCTGCCTGGAGTAGGCCGTGAGATCCCAGACTGGTCACTGTCTCTGAGCCGTAGGGAGATAGGGGACTATGGCAAGATGTTAGCTGCAGTGATGCTATGGAGGAAGGAGGCTGCCTGACTGTTGTTCCCTTCTCAGGGCTGTTGCTCTAGGCCTCAGCATTTCCCACTAATAATAAAGGGAAAGGGAGGGACAATGGCGTTGACATCCCTGCCTGATGCCCAGGGCAAAAGGGCACACGCATCTCAGCTAATCCTGCCCTCCATTTTGTGGGGAAGCATTGTATAGTGGTGTGACCCAGATTCCACATGGAGGCCTTCAGATGGGACTGTCCCTTCTGGATTCCCTGATCAGTTGTCATCAGGCTTGGGAAGTGGAGCAGAGTGAATCTCCACAGTTGCTTTGGGAATCTGGGTACTGGCTCCATGTCACCCCTGTTTCTGTTTTCAGCTGAGAGAGTATAAGGTGGTGGGGCGCTGCCTGCCCACCCCCAAATGCCACACACCACCCCTCTATCGTATGCGAATCTTTGCGCCTAATCACGTTGTTGCCAAGTCCCGCTTCTGGTACTTTGTGTCTCAGCTGAAGAAGATGAAGAAGTCTTCAGGGGAAATTGTCTACTGTGGGCAGGTACGGGGTTTATGGGACAGGGTGGGGGTTCCCACGTGGATTTATACTATCCCTTGGGGCATCCCTTGCTCCACAGTTACCAGACTCAGCCCCTGGTCCAGCCCGCATGTATTCAGGCCCCCAGAGGGTGTCCCCTGGGACGTTGGCTCTGATGGACGCTGGACTCTGCAACATGAGGCTGCACTGGGCAGGAGCTGGTTTGCAACCCAGGTGGTCCCAAGAAAGTTGGTTTGGGAGGAGTCCGGAGCTCTGTTGGTCCCCATGGGGGAAGCATCAGGCCTGGACTGCTCTGCACCCCTGGGAGGCCTGGGTGCCGAGCTGTGATTGAAGCAGAAGGAGCCGTTGTTAGGTGATGGTAGGGGCCACTCTGAGGCCCCCTTGTTCCTCTGGCCTCAGCCAGTCTTTTCTCTTTGCAGGTGTTTGAGAAATCCCCTCTGCGGGTAAAGAACTTTGGCATCTGGTTGCGCTATGACTCCCGCAGCGGCACCCACAACATGTACCGGGAGTACCGGGACCTGACCACTGCAGGCGCTGTCACCCAGTGCTGTGAGCTCTGGGCATCCCACACCCGGGTCGCTCCTTTACCCTCACACTGCAGGCGTCTGTGGGGGGCAGGGGGGGGTTCCAGGGTGGTGATGTGGGATGTAGGGGATGTTAGCTAAGGGGGCAGGACGAGTGGAGAGGATTCCCAGGCATACCTTTTTCTGGAATCTGGCAGCAGGTGGACCTTTGGGGTCAGAGGATGGGGCCTCAAGTCATTCCCAAGCAGGCTTGCACATCACCACATTCCCATGCAGAACCTCCCTGTTGGGTCGTCCCCTGTGTAGCCAAGTCCCCACCCGGAACCTAGTCTGGCCCCTGTCCAGCATCCAGCATTAGGACGTGGCACCCCTGGGTGCTCCTAGGTGGGTCACCCATCGTAGCCAAACCCATGCACCTGAAATCATAAACTGCTGTTTTTTTATAGCAGTGGTTTAAATAGAGGTGCTAACAGCAACTGGATCTTGTCGCCTTTGTGGGGCTGTGACTGTGCCCTTCAAAGTGAATTTGGAGGTTCTACACTCCTGGTGGCTATTGCCTTCCTGCACCAGAGGCTGTGGCCACCTAGTTCCCAAGTTGGGGGCTCCACAGGCCTGCACTTGACGGGACATTTTGGGGACACCCAGACTCCAGGATATATGCTCAGCCTACCTTCTCCCTGCAGACCGAGACATGGGTGCCCGGCACCGGGCCCGTGCCCACTCGATCCAGATCATGAAGGTGGAGGAGATTGCAGCCAGCAAGTGCCGCCGACCAGCAGTCAAGCAGTTCCATGTGAGCGCCCTGGGGACCCTGCTAGGCAGGCTGCGATGAGGGGTTCTGGAACAGAGTTGGCCCGGCTGCCTCCCCAGCCTGGGGTGGGGCACCTAGTCTGACGCAGGAGCCCGGTGGGGGGTTGCCACAGTTAAGAGGCTGTCCCACCCCCTCACCCATCTCTCCTTACCACAGGACTCCAAGATCAAGTTCCCACTGCCCCACCGGGTCCTGCGTCGCCAGCATAAGCCACGCTTCACCACCAAGAGGCCCAACACTTTCTTTTAGATGTGGGGCCTTCCTGTCCCCAGTTCTGCCCAAATAAATTCCATGGAAAAAGTGGGGTGCTCAGACATGCTTGTTTTCTTTGCATGCCCTGCAGAATTCAAAAGGGCACAACTAAGCTGTGTGTTCTCTGCACAGGGTGGGGTCGTCCTCTCCTGAAGTGGGGCTCAGACTCCTGATTCTCCAGAAGGAGTGCCCCAGGAATGGTGAGGTTCCCACCCCCTCGAGTGCTTTCCTGCCCACTGACCCCTGGAACTTTGTTCAGTGAAGGGCAGGGTCCTGGCACCAGATGGCCCAGTTTTCAGCCCCTTTAAGTGGCTGGCTGCTGTGAGCATGGGGTGCGCTGCCGGCAGAGGTTTGGCACCCAGGTCTGTCCATCTGCCTTGTTAGACAGGCCTTAGTGCCCCTTTTCTGCTGGTTCCGAGACATGAAGCCAGGCCCTGGGTGGAACAGGGTAAGGGAATTGATTCATTCTACCTGGAGCTTTCCCCACCTGGCCCGGAACTCCTGTGCTTGTTTCCGGGACCCTCCAAGCAGACATGATGGGGCACCCAAGAGCCATGAGCCTGCCATGCTGGGTTCTCTTCCCCCTTGGGCTGGGGGACCCCTGAGTGGTGCTGCCCTAATCCAAGAAAGTCAAGGTGTCACCATGGGATCTCTCCAAAAACCTGGGGAATTCTGGGCATGAAGCTAATCCCATCCTGGGGGTGCCCACCCTGCCCAAGTCAGCCCAGAGCACCTGTCCTTGGTGTGTAACCTTGGGCAGGCCTGGCCCTCTGTGCTCTGGTGTCCTCACCAGGAGGTCGGGGCACTGACCAGACTTACTGCCATATGGGAGTCACCGCTGTGCAGACACAGGCAAGGGTCAGTCAGGACTCACCCTTGTTCCAGAGAGCCATGGGCTGGGGAAGCTGAGGCACAACGGGCAGTGGGGGTGTGGGTTGGACCAGCCCAGCCTGGGGTGTGTGCACCAGGAGTGCAGCTTTCCCTCCCCTGTTGGGGCCAGTCAGCATGATCAGCCTCAGGGATTTCCAGGAAACCAGGTTGCTCTAAACCCCAGCTGCGGTTGGAGGGGTGCCAGACTCTTGGGGCAGGGCTCCTGTAGAGCCAGCCATTCTCTGGAGTGAAGCCTGAGGATGGGTCCCTGGTTTCCCTGGCCCTTGGTGGCTGCTTAGTGTGCTGCTGATGGCTCATTCCCATCTCCAGGCCTCTGCACTTGCTGAGCCCTCTCTCTGGATATCCCGATAATCACTAGGGTGGTCTCACTAAAGTTTGTGATCTGCATCTAATGTGATGGTAAATTGGTTTTCTGTCCCCCAAGGGACTAAACTGGTCTGGGAGGGCAGGGCCCATGTGTCAAGTCCCCAGGAGTTTAATAAGTCTTTGTGGGTTCCTTGATCTGCTTGCACCACATGGGGTAACTGATAAACTGAGTCTCGCATTTTTGGGTCAAGTTTTCTTTGACACTGCCAAAATTCCCCCATAGATGTGCCAGTTTATTTTCCCAACAGCATTAAATAATGCTGCCCTTGTTTCCTTCAACCTTGCCAGCACAGTGCATTTGTAAACTTTGATGGCTGAAAAAATAACATTTTAGGATTTGAATTTGCTTTTCTATGAAGTAAGCACTATTCCCTGAATTAAAAGTCATTTGAACTTGACTTGTTTCTCTGCTGGGCTGCTGATCATTGTTTTGTTTTGTAAAAGCTCTTCACACAAGTGGGGCAAAAGTCTGAAAAAGAAGAGAACTCCCCGACTCAGCAAAGGGAATCTTGCTGGAACCACCCGGAGCAGAGGCTTGGAGCCAGGAGGAAAGGGGCCCGTGTGCTGGGGTCGGCATCTTGAATCTCTGACCACCCTGCCTGGTCCGCTGGGGCCCACCCAGCCAGCCCAAGGATAAACTAGGGCGGGAATTGAACCCACACAGCCACGGGGAACCCCTCCTGCATCCTCAGGCTGAGGTACTCAGGCCCTGCAGCTCACTCCTGAGTCAGGACCATTAGGGGCAAGAGTGGGTGCCAGAGCAAGACAAAACCCATGGGGTTCCCAGGAGACCAGACCCAGATCCTCAGAACAAGAGAGGCCATCTGAGAACGAATCAGAATCACATTGGGATCCTCAGAATTTAGGATCATGAATTCTCACAGGTAAGGACACACCAAAAGTAATGCCAGTTCACTACAGAGGGCAGGGTTCAAGGACAGACCCAGCAGGCCTTGCTGAAGCTGGAGTAACACAACCTCCCACCCCAAGTCCCTGCCACATCTCCAAGGAGCCACGGGAGAGCACTGGAGGTGCCCAGGCAGTGGGCAGGGGCGGGGCAGTAGACCCTGCACTGCAGCCGGAGAGCCCTGCCCCTTCTCAGATTACAGCTGCTGGCCCTCTAGGGATCTCCCTGCCCCTCTCCGCCCATCAGTGGTATGGAGGTGGAGAGGGGCTTCCCTCCTGCCTGCCCCCTCCCCCATTCCATGACCGGAATTGTGCAATCAGGTAAGTTAACCAGCATTCTCCGGGACTCACTCGTTCTCGACCCATGTCTGCCCACCTCGGAGAGTTCCCCTCCCAGAGGCCCCACATAAAGTGGCTTTCCCAGGCCAGCGCTCAATGACCTTGCTTTATTTATTCTTGTCACCCAATGGCTTCTGAAATGGGTATTCATCCACTGGCTTGGCCAGTGCCTGAGCTGGTGTGCAGGGTGGGTCCAGCTGCTGCATCTCCAGCTCCTGACTCAGGGCCCTGCACACAGAAGGCGCTCAAGGCGCTCCAGCCCTGGCATCAGTCTGGATCCTTCCTCCCACGGCCAAAAAGGATGTTATCTCATTCCAGAATCTCCCTGTGGAGACAAGGTGTGTCGCCCCCCACCCCACCCCCGCTGGTGATTTGTATACATTTGCATTCATTTGCATGGCTTTTCGGGAAGGGGATCTCCCCCCAACCCCCCGAAGATTTCCCTTTCCCCCGGTTTTCCAGTAGGATGCAGGGCGGCTGGCCTGGCCTGTGAAAATGTTGGGCTGTAAGAGGAACTCGGTGTCTTCTCCACCCTCCTGGCCCCGGGTGGAGGGCGTATGCCAACGGGCAACAGATGCCCATGTGGCAGCTGCGGGGCTGCAGCCCAGGGGAGCGGCAGGCCCGCCCTGCACAGCACGTGGAGAGGGAGAGAGAAGACAGTCCTGGGGGACACGTGGGGATTCAAGAGAGACACAGAACCCAGCTGGAGTGGTGTGCATGGGGCAAAGGAGACCTCCATGGGGCGGCAGAGGCTGGGGAGGACTCTAGTGCCACAGCAGCCAATTCTGTGGATTGTTAGATCTCACCCATTTGGGGAGGAGGTAACCCCGTTTTGGAGGCCAGGCCAGGACTGGAGCCCAGAGGTCAGAGCCTACAAAGGCCAAAGTCTCACGGGTGCACCAGTGAAGGGCCCCAAGATGATAGTGTCTGGGTCCCTTATGGCATGACCACAGGCAAGGGACTTCCCCTCCCCACACCCTGGTCTCAATTTATGCAAATAGGTATATGCCAGACACTGCCTCTCTGGGTAGTCATGGGTCTCCATCAACCTAGGTTCACGGCCGCTGACAACCCCTCCCCCAAGACTTTAATTACGTAATTAATGCCTGGTACAGGGCAGAACTTAATGCGTGCTTGATTAGGGAACCAATGAATGAATGAAGTGGATTCTGTGTCACGCTCCTGCTAGGCCTGCTTCAATTCATTCCTCTGAGGCATGGGCCATTTTATCCCTATTTACAGATGAGGAAACTGAGGCCCAGAGAGAAGGAAACACTTCATCAGGACTTTGAATCCCAGTGTGTCCCACTCAGCCTAAAGGAAGGCTTTGGTGGTGCCCTCCCGCTGGGCTCTTGAGAAACGGGGTGGGTCTAGGTACCATTTGGAGTTCTAGCAGAGCCAACTTTCCTCAGGCAACCGCGCAACCCTTTAACTGACCGGTCCTGTGGGAGAGTGAGCTCCCCGGTAGCTCAAGGCAGAACAGCGCAGTGGGGATTTGAGTGCTGAAGCCACTGCTCTGGACTTGTGGCCTCCTGTGAGTGACATGCCATTTCTGAACCTCAGTTTCGCCACCTGCCCACTGGAGACATTAATAGTCTGCGGTCAGTGCCCCACGAAGCAGGGACATTTAGGAGCCACCCCGCCCTCATCCCGCAGCCACCACGTGGCCAATGCCCATGTGGCAGCTGCGGGGCTGCAGCCCAGGGGAGCGGCAGGCCCGCCCTGCACAGCACGTGGAGAGGGAGAGAGAAGACAGTCCTGGGGGACACGTGGGGATTCAAGAGAGACACAGAACCCAGCTGGAGTGGTGTGCATGGGGCAAAAGAGACCTCCATGGGGCGGCAGAGGCTGGGGAGGACTCTAGTGCCACAGCAGCCAATTCTGTGGATTGTTAGATCTCACCCATTTGGGGAGGAGGTAACCCCGTTTTGGAGGCCAGGCCAGGACTGGAGCCCAGAGGTCAGAGCCTACAAAGGCCAAAGTCTCACGGGTGCACCAGTGAAGGGCCCCAAGATGATAGTGTCTGGGTCCCTTATGGCATGACCACAGGCAAGGGACTTCCCCTCCCCACACCCTGGTCTCAATTTATGCAAATAGGTATATGCCAGACACTGCCTCTCTGGGTAGTCATGGGTCTCCATCAACCTAGGTTCACGGCCGCTGACAACCCCTCCCCCAAGACTTTAATTACGTAATTAATGCCTGGTACAGGGCAGAACTTAATGCGTGCTTGATTAGGGAACCAATGAATGAATGAAGTGGATTCTGTGTCACGCTCCTGCTAGGCCTGCTTCAATTCATTCCTCTGAGGCATGGGCCATTTTATCCCTATTTACAGATGAGGAAACTGAGGCCCAGAGAGAAGGAAACACTTCATCAGGACTTTGAATCCCAGTGTGTCCCACTCAGCCTAAAGGAAGGCTTTGGTGGTGCCCTCCCGCTGGGCTCTTGAGAAACGGGGTGGGTCTAGGTACCATTTGGAGTTCTAGCAGAGCCAACTTTCCTCAGGCAACCGCGCAACCCTTTAACTGACCGGTCCTGTAGGAGAGTGAGCTCCCCGGTAGCTCAAGGCAGAACAGCGCAGTGGGGATTTGAGTGCTGAAGCCACTGCTCTGGACTTGTGGCCTCCTGTGAGTGACATGCCATTTCTGAACCTCAGTTTCGCCACCTGCCCACTGGAGACATTAATAGTCTGCGGTCAGTGCCCCACGAAGCAGGGACATTTAGGAGCCACCCCGCCCTCATCCCGCAGCCACCACGTGGCCCGTCCAGGCCTACCCAACCCAGTCCAGGGCGGAAAGGGTGCCGGTCCCGCCCGCCCCCAAATGCGGGGGCGGAGTTTTGCCGACCCGGGAGGCGCATAAATCTGCAGCCGGCCGAGAACTGTCCCTTCAAGCCCCGCTGTTAGGGTCTCCAGCTGTTAACGCTGAGCACAAATTCCTGGGAGAGCGACCGAAGGCTGGGCGAGGGGCACGCGGCTGCCTGGGGCAGTCGAACCTAATGGGAGGCGAGGTGGACAGACAGGCAGACGTAGGAGGTAGACGGTAGATGCAGAGGAGGGGCAGGGAGGCCGACCCCTGCGGGTAGGAGCCCAGATTCCTTGCCCAGGGGGTTTGGGCCTTAGCCCCCTCTCGCTGCCTCCCCCCGGGACAGAAGGAGAAGACTTGTGTCCCCCACAGACGGAGTGCATACCACCCGAGTGGACGGCAGCAGGTTCAGGGTTCCGAGCCCGTCTTCCTCCCTTCCTCTTACCTTAGGCAAGAGGCGTGCCTCTCTGTGGAGGACAAGCATCCTCCACCTTAGCGCAGTCCCGGTTTCTGGGCTGCTGTCCGCTTCCCTCACCCGGGGTGTTCGGTGTTGGCTGGACTGCCCGGTGGGAGGCTGCGCTTGGCCCCCGCACCTGTACCACATGGAGGACGTCGAGGCGGGGGCGCGGGGCACGTTCGGAGCCTGGGACTACGGGGTCTTCGCCCTCATGCTGCTGGTGTCCACGGGCATCGGGCTGTGGGTAGGGCTGGCGCGGGGTGGGCAGCGCAGCGCAGAGGATTTCTTCACTGGGGGCCGACGCCTGGCGGCCCTGCCCGTGGGCCTCTCGCTGGCCGCCAGTTTCATGTCGGCCGTGCAGGTGCTGGGCGTGCCGGCCGAGGCCTACCGGTACGGCCTCCAGTTCCTCTGGATGTGTCTGGGCCAGCAGAGTGGACGGCAGACGCGGGGCTCCAAGCCCGTCTTCCTCCCTCCCTCCTACCTTGGGCAAGAGGTGTGGCTCTGCTCGGCTTTCCCAAATGTCCGACCTGGCTAATTATAGGACCTCCCTCCAGAGCAGTGGGCAGTGATTAAAATCGTAACCGGTATACAGTAGGCGAACAATTGGTCACAGGTACTCTGTGAATCAGGGGGCATGTTGATTCAGAGCAGCGCCTCCCCGGGGGCTGATTACCCACCTTTGGGCTGGTGGGGGTGGGGGGCGAGTGCGCGCCTGATGGAGCAGGCCTCCGGGGCACAGGCGCGGGGACGGCGCGTGTGGACAGGTATTTGAGGACAAGTCTGTGTGCGCCTGAGTGCGGAGAGCGCAGTCGGCCTCTGGAGGGAGGGCAGAAGCTGCGGGTGCGGGGAAAGGACCCCAGAGGCCTCGGGCCCCTGGGTAGGACCTGTCCTAGTGACCACGAGCCCACGGCACCTTGCAGTACCTGGAGCTGCGCTTCAGCCGCGCGGTGCGGCTCTGCGGGACTCTGCAGTACCTGGTGGCCACAGTGAGTCGTCTCGGCCCCGCCCCAGCCCAGTCTCTCTCTGGGGTCCCGCCTTCGTCGGCCCCGCCCACAGCCCCACCCCCGTCCTTCACCTCTCCGCCCCCATCCTGCCAGGCCCCACCCACCCGCCTGTCTGGCTCCGGCCCCTGCGGACTAGACCACAGGTTTGGCCCCCAGGCCCCTCCCATACGCTCGACCTGAACCCTCCCTACCACCGTACTCCCCCTGCTTCTGGATCCCCTATATGTCCAGACACCACTACCACGCTCTCCCCACCCAATACGCCCCACCGCCTCACCTGCCTCGCTCTCTGCCTGCAGATGCTGTACACCGGCATCGTGATCTACGCCCCCGCGCTCATCCTGAACCAGGGTTTGACTCTGGGAGGTGGGGGAGCATATGGCCAGGAGGGAGCACAGGCTAGAGACTGGACAGGAGGAGGGGAAGGGGCGGCCCCAAGGGAGACACGGGAGGGAAGAATCCTACAGACACCGGAGGCCAAGCCTGCACTCTGCCTGGCTGCCTAATGAGGGGTTTCCTTGCACAGTGACTGGGCTGGACATCTGGGCATCACTCCTGTCCACTGGAGCAATCTGCACCTTTTACACGACTGTGGTGAGCGATCCTACCCACCCACTCCATGTGGCGGCTCCATGCCTGCTGGCTGGGGGAGACCCTAGGCCCGCTTTCCACTTCTTTATCTCCCCTTCCTCCTGAGGAAGCCCTTGGCCAGGCTCCCCTTCAGTTTCCTCGCCTTTGTAAAGAAAGGTGATTTGAAAGGCTTATGTCCAGGGATATGCTAGCTTCAGGTCTGGCTGGATCCAAGGGCAACAGTGGTGCCTCTGAGTCCCTCTCCCAACTCTTGAGGCCCCAGCTGCTGTGGGTTTCCATCCCTTCTGGCAGAAAGTGAGTTCCTGTTTCAGGAAGCGCTGGCTGAAGTCCCAGGAGAGCTCTGTTTGTCTGGCCCAGTCTTGCCTGCAGGATGAGCCATTCACAAAAGTTTCTGGGACTGGGAGGTTCTGAATGGTTATTCCTGGAGCTGCAGGTGGGGTTGGTCTTACCTGAAATACCTGCCATGGGGCTTCTACAAAGGAAAATCCAGGGGCCACCATAGGAAGGCAAAGGCATGGAGGCTGGAGGGTAAAACAACAGCTAATAATAATAGTAGTAGCAATAACAGTAATAATTGTGGCAGCCATCACTCACTCAACATTTGTATTTGCCAGGTGCTGTTCCAAATATTCACTCATATTAATTAATTAAATCATCACAACCCCATCATCAGGAAGGGAGTTATGGTTATTAACCCCATTTTACAGATGAGAAACTGAGGCAGAGAAGAGCATCATCACTCCCAGCCACTACCAGAGGCCAGGCCAGATTGGCCCCAGACAGGTTCCTGTCTGACCCTCGTTTCATCCTCTGTCACATCCCGCAGGGCGGCATGAAAGCTGTGGTCTGGACCGACGTGTTCCAGGTCGTGGTGATGCTGACTGGCTTCTGGGCAGTCCTGGCCCGCGGGACCGTGCTCGTGGGAGGACTCGAGCAAATGCTTGAGGTTGCCCAGAACCACTCCCGGATCAACCTGATGGAGTGAGTGAACATGTAGAGGGGGACACTGCAAAACGGTGCGCTGGCATCCCTCTGCCCTAGGAGAAGCCAGCAATGCCTCCTACTCCAGGAAGCCTTCCCTGCTCCCCTCCCTAGATTCCCCACAGACAGAACCCTGTCTCCTGTTTTCTACAGTCCCTTAGCCCCTATCCCTCCATCTTGCCCACACCTCTGCCCCACTCCACCCCCTAACCCAGACTGAGGACTGAAGGCTCTATGAGGTCCCAGCTGGGCACAGAAAGAATGGTTTTTTGAATGCATACATGGATGACTCAGTAACAAATGACTTTTCAATATGGTAAACTCCTACTCACACTTCAAAACCCACCCCAGATGTCCCCTTAAGGCTTATAAGGTCCAGAGCAGCTATCTGGGGGCCCTTGAGAGGGTGAAGTCAGAGTGGCATTCCCAGGTGGCTGACTTGTCCTGCCCTCACCTAGCTTTGACCTGGACCCACGGAGGCGCTACACATTCTGGACTTTCGTGGTGGGTGGCACCTTGGTGTGGCTCTCCATGTACGGCGTGAACCAAGCACAGGTGCAGCGCTATGTGGCCTGTCGCACAGAGAAGCAGGCTAAGCTGTGAGTGTTTAGGAGGGGCAGGGTGTGGGCCTCTGGGACATACTATCCCTTGCTCCCCAGCCTGAGGCTGCCCCTTTTGCCAGAGCCCTGCTTATCAACCAGCTGGGCCTGTTTCTGATCGTGTCCAGTGCTGCTGGCTGTGGTATCATCATGTTCACGTTCTATATAGACTGTGACCCTCTCCTCACAGGGCGTATCTCTGCCCCGGACCAGGTAAGTCTGGCCCAAGCTCCTAGGCCGTTCCCACCTTCACTCCCACTTCTGGATGGATGAACCTCTGGGGGCAAGGGTGGAAAAGCATTCCTAGAAGAGAGAACAGCATGTGCAAAGGTCCAGAGGCAGGGAAAGGCTTGGCTCAGAGGAGGCTCTGGGAGGAGTGCAGAAAATGAGGCTGGGAGGCAATGGGGAGCCCTGAGAGGTATGCAAGCAGGGGAGGGGCACATTCATACTTAGAGTCAGAGACTCCCTGAGGGATATCAAGGAGAAGATGGGAACGTGGTCCAACATCAAATAATGTTGCTGATATCAATAATGACCAGCTCCCTAGTCCCAAGCACCTATTCTGTGCCTCATGCTGTTCCCTTCACAAGCAGTTAGTCTCCCATCAGATCCTTCAACATGTGATGAGGCCAAGACTGTCATGCCCCCTCTTTACACATGAGGAAACTGAGTCTGAAGGGGAGGGGACCAATGGTATTGTCACACCCTGGCTGGAGCTTTTTCCCTAGAGTCAGGAGAGGCTGGGTCTACTGTTCTCTCCTGGGGTCAAATCCTGGACTGCCTGACTGTGCAACTTCAGGCAGGGATTGCACCTCCCACTTTACTGTCCTCATCAGTAAAATGGTGATGACTCGGGATTCTGCCTCACTGGGAACCCAGGGCTCTGTACATGGTGGTGCTCAGTGACAATCCTCAGGTACATGCAGTCAATCAACAAACACACACTAAGTGCCCCCTATGGGCCCAGTCTTCACTGAGCACTGGGAATGAGCAGTGTGAGGACAGAAGCCCCTGCCCCTGGGGTGCTGCTATCCCAGAGGTTGACCCCTGATTCCCCTAGTACATGCCTCTGCTGGTGCTGGACATCTTCGAGGACCTGCCTGGAGTCCCTGGGCTCTTTCTGGCCTGTGCCTACAGTGGCACCCTCAGGTGAGTGGCCCTGAATGCTCACCCAGTCACATCTGAACCCCTTGGGGCCTCCTGTCCTTATTGGCCACACCCCTATGGGATTGGATGTTCTGGGCATGTCTGTCATTTACTCTTCCTGCTCAATCCCAGGGGACAGTGCCGGTGGGCTTGACACCAGTGAATTGGCAAGGTGGCAAACTCCTACTCACACTTTAAAACCCATTCCAAATATCCCCCAGAAGCCCATAATATCCAAAATGGTCATTTGGGGCTTTTGGAAGGGTGAATTCCGTGTGGCATGTGGCTAACTTCCCTGCCCTCACTCACTTTTGACCTGAATCCACGGAGGCACTAGGCTCTGCACACAAGGATCTCAGCTGCGGGGTCTTTACGTTCTTATCATCTGGCAGGGACACAACTGACTCCCCTCTCTCCCTTACTGTTCCTTCCTGCCTGCCCCAAGCAAATGTTTATTGAGCACCTGCTATGTGGCAGGTACTGCTGTTCTAAATACTGAGACACATCTGTGACCAAGCAGTCCCCCACAGCTGTCTTCAGGGGCTTCACATTCCAGTGGTTTGGAATCTTCTGTAACTTCTGGCCACATTCCTGCTCCTGCTGTGACCAGGGTCCACATGGCAGTTATCTGCCCTCCCCTATTATTACTCCATAATGAGAACTTGCGTCATTTTTGTCCTTAGTCATGGGTGTCCTTGTGCCTTTGGGGGGATGGCCAGGAGGGAGCACAGGCTAGAGACTGGACAGGAGGAGGGGAAGGGGCGGCCCCAAGGGAGACACGGGAGGGAAGAATCCTACAGACACCGGAGGCCAAGCCTGCACTCTGCCTGGCTGCCTAATGAGGGGTTTCCTTGCACAGTGACTGGGCTGGACATCTGGGCATCACTCCTGTCCACTGGAGCAATCTGCACCTTTTACACGACTGTGGTGAGCGATCCTACCCACCCACTCCATGTGGCGGCTCCATGCCTGCTGGCTGGGGGAGACCCTAGGCCCGCTTTCCACTTCTTTATCTCCCCTTCCTCCTGAGGAAGCCCTTGGCCAGGCTCCCCTTCAGTTTCCTCGCCTTTGTAAAGAAAGGTGATTTGAAAGGCTTATGTCCAGGGATATGCTAGCTTCAGGTCTGGCTGGATCCAAGGGCAACAGTGGTGCCTCTGAGTCCCTCTCCCAACTCTTGAGGCCCCAGCTGCTGTGGGTTTCCATCCCTTCTGGCAGAAAGTGAGTTCCTGTTTCAGGAAGCGCTGGCTGAAGTCCCAGGAGAGCTCTGTTTGTCTGGCCCAGTCTTGCCTGCAGGATGAGCCATTCACAAAAGTTTCTGGGACTGGGAGGTTCTGAATGGTTATTCCTGGAGCTGCAGGTGGGGTTGGTCTTACCTGAAATACCTGCCATGGGGCTTCTACAAAGGAAAATCCAGGGGCCACCATAGGAAGGCAAAGGCATGGAGGCTGGAGGGTAAAACAACAGCTAATAATAATAGTAGTAGCAATAACAGTAATAATTGTGGCAGCCATCACTCACTCAACATTTGTATTTGCCAGGTGCTGTTCCAAATATTCACTCATATTAATTAATTAAATCATCACAACCCCATCATCAGGAAGGGAGTTATGGTTATTAACCCCATTTTACAGATGAGAAACTGAGGCAGAGAAGAGCATCATCACTCCCAGCCACTACCAGAGGCCAGGCCAGATTGGCCCCAGACAGGTTCCTGTCTGACCCTCGTTTCATCCTCTGTCACATCCCGCAGGGCGGCATGAAAGCTGTGGTCTGGACCGACGTGTTCCAGGTCGTGGTGATGCTGACTGGCTTCTGGGCAGTCCTGGCCCGCGGGACCGTGCTCGTGGGAGGACTCGAGCAAATGCTTGAGGTTGCCCAGAACCACTCCCGGATCAACCTGATGGAGTGAGTGAACATGTAGAGGGGGACACTGCAAAACGGTGCGCTGGCATCCCTCTGCCCTAGGAGAAGCCAGCAATGCCTCCTACTCCAGGAAGCCTTCCCTGCTCCCCTCCCTAGATTCCCCACAGACAGAACCCTGTCTCCTGTTTTCTACAGTCCCTTAGCCCCTATCCCTCCATCTTGCCCACACCTCTGCCCCACTCCACCCCCTAACCCAGACTGAGGACTGAAGGCTCTATGAGGTCCCAGCTGGGCACAGAAAGAATGGTTTTTTGAATGCATACATGGATGACTCAGTAACAAATGACTTTTCAATATGGTAAACTCCTACTCACACTTCAAAACCCACCCCAGATGTCCCCTTAAGGCTTATAAGGTCCAGAGCAGCTATCTGGGGGCCCTTGAGAGGGTGAAGTCAGAGTGGCATTCCCAGGTGGCTGACTTGTCCTGCCCTCACCTAGCTTTGACCTGGACCCACGGAGGCGCTACACATTCTGGACTTTCGTGGTGGGTGGCACCTTGGTGTGGCTCTCCATGTACGGCGTGAACCAAGCACAGGTGCAGCGCTATGTGGCCTGTCGCACAGAGAAGCAGGCTAAGCTGTGAGTGTTTAGGAGGGGCAGGGTGTGGGCCTCTGGGACATACTATCCCTTGCTCCCCAGCCTGAGGCTGCCCCTTTTGCCAGAGCCCTGCTTATCAACCAGCTGGGCCTGTTTCTGATCGTGTCCAGTGCTGCTGGCTGTGGTATCATCATGTTCACGTTCTATATAGACTGTGACCCTCTCCTCACAGGGCGTATCTCTGCCCCGGACCAGGTAAGTCTGGCCCAAGCTCCTAGGCCGTTCCCACCTTCACTCCCACTTCTGGATGGATGAACCTCTGGGGGCAAGGGTGGAAAAGCATTCCTAGAAGAGAGAACAGCATGTGCAAAGGTCCAGAGGCAGGGAAAGGCTTGGCTCAGAGGAGGCTCTGGGAGGAGTGCAGAAAATGAGGCTGGGAGGCAATGGGGAGCCCTGAGAGGTATGCAAGCAGGGGAGGGGCACATTCATACTTAGAGTCAGAGACTCCCTGAGGGATATCAAGGAGAAGATGGGAACGTGGTCCAACATCAAATAATGTTGCTGATATCAATAATGACCAGCTCCCTAGTCCCAAGCACCTATTCTGTGCCTCATGCTGTTCCCTTCACAAGCAGTTAGTCTCCCATCAGATCCTTCAACATGTGATGAGGCCAAGACTGTCATGCCCCCTCTTTACACATGAGGAAACTGAGTCTGAAGGGGAGGGGACCAATGGTATTGTCACACCCTGGCTGGAGCTTTTTCCCTAGAGTCAGGAGAGGCTGGGTCTACTGTTCTCTCCTGGGGTCAAATCCTGGACTGCCTGACTGTGCAACTTCAGGCAGGGATTGCACCTCCCACTTTACTGTCCTCATCAGTAAAATGGTGATGACTCGGGATTCTGCCTCACTGGGAACCCAGGGCTCTGTACATGGTGGTGCTCAGTGACAATCCTCAGGTACATGCAGTCAATCAACAAACACACACTAAGTGCCCCCTATGGGCCCAGTCTTCACTGAGCACTGGGAATGAGCAGTGTGAGGACAGAAGCCCCTGCCCCTGGGGTGCTGCTATCCCAGAGGTTGACCCCTGATTCCCCTAGTACATGCCTCTGCTGGTGCTGGACATCTTCGAGGACCTGCCTGGAGTCCCTGGGCTCTTTCTGGCCTGTGCCTACAGTGGCACCCTCAGGTGAGTGGCCCTGAATGCTCACCCAGTCACATCTGAACCCCTTGGGGCCTCCTGTCCTTATTGGCCACACCCCTATGGGATTGGATGTTCTGGGCATGTCTGTCATTTACTCTTCCTGCTCAATCCCAGGGGACAGTGCCGGTGGGCTTGACACCAGTGAATTGGCAAGGTGGCAAACTCCTACTCACACTTTAAAACCCATTCCAAATATCCCCCAGAAGCCCATAATATCCAAAATGGTCATTTGGGGCTTTTGGAAGGGTGAATTCCGTGTGGCATGTGGCTAACTTCCCTGCCCTCACTCACTTTTGACCTGAATCCACGGAGGCACTAGGCTCTGCACACAAGGATCTCAGCTGCGGGGTCTTTACGTTCTTATCATCTGGCAGGGACACAACTGACTCCCCTCTCTCCCTTACTGTTCCTTCCTGCCTGCCCCAAGCAAATGTTTATTGAGCACCTGCTATGTGGCAGGTACTGCTGTTCTAAATACTGAGACACATCTGTGACCAAGCAGTCCCCCACAGCTGTCTTCAGGGGCTTCACATTCCAGTGGTTTGGAATCTTCTGTAACTTCTGGCCACATTCCTGCTCCTGCTGTGACCAGGGTCCACATGGCAGTTATCTGCCCTCCCCTATTATTACTCCATAATGAGAACTTGCGTCATTTTTGTCCTTAGTCATGGGTGTCCTTGTGCCTTTGGGGGGATGTCAGGTCTGTGGGGCTGTTGGGTGGGTATTTCTCTCTCTTGGGAGACTCTCCCCTTGGGGTGGGTGGGGTCCTGGCAGGTCAGGTGGTACAGGCAGTTGGGGGGGCCTCCCTCAGCAGGTGGGCCCAGAGGGAGCGTGGCTGGTCCCTGGATGTGTGCTGATGACCCCGCTCCTTCTGTCTGTGTCCCCCAGTACTGCGTCCACCAGCATCAACGCCATGGCTGCCGTCACCGTGGAGGACCTCATCAAACCGCGGCTGCCGAGACTGGCCCCCCAGAGACTTGTTGTCATCTCCAAGGGGCTCTGTGAGTTGGGGGGACCCAGCTGGGGGGGCCACAGCAGCCTCTCCCCAGCTGACAGTGCCACCCCGTCCCCTACAGCGCTCATCTATGGCTCAGCCTGTCTCACGGTGGCAGCTCTGTCCTCGCTGCTGGGGGGAGGCGTCCTCCAGGTGAGCGCCCCCGCCCCCCCGCATCCACCCCATCTCCCCAAGAGGTGGCATCCTCTGTGTTGAATTGAAGCTCAGACAGGGTCATTCTTTCTGGGTTCTGTCTGACCTACCGGCGGCATACTTCTTGCGACCACTTACCTGGACTGGAGGTGATGGGAGGTGGGAGGTTGAAGGGTGGCAGCCTGGAGGAAGGAAGGGCCTCACCCTGGCTTGGAGATCTGACCAGACAGAGGATCAGCATCTTTTCCTCCAACCAGGGGAAGAAAGGCAGGAAGAGGGAGGCCCCTCCCCTTCAGAGAAACTGAGGCACGGGAAGTCTCAAGGCCCACAGTGGAATCCCTCAGGCCTTGCTTCCCCAGCGGGTAAACTGAGGCCAGGAGAGATGGTTTGCTCTGCTCTAGCCCCACTCCCACCCCCACCCACTCTCCCAGGGCTCCTTCACCGTCATGGGAGTCATCAGCGGTCCCCTCCTGGGAGCCTTTATCCTGGGAATGTTCCTGCCTGCCTGCAACACGCCGGTGAGTAGGGTGCTCCCAGGCCGGCGAGAGCCCGGGAAGGGAGGCCACCAGCTGGACACGCCTCCCCTGACGCTGGCTCCGCCCCCAGGGCGTCCTCTCTGGGATGGCAGTGGGCGTGGCGCTTTCGCTGTGGGTGGCCGTGGGCGCCGCCCTCTACCCGCCCAGCGCACAGTCCATGGGGGTCCTCCTGTCATCAGCCGCCAACTGTGCGGCGCCCTCAGCCAACGCCTCTGGCCTCCTGGGGCCCCTCCTCACCACCAACACCTCCGGCAGGGCCTCCAGGTGAGCGGGCTGCTCTGAAGGGTGGGCATCAGGCAGAAAGAAAGTGGCTTGGGAAGAACTGAGGGAGGGGCTTCCCCAGTAACGGAAGGACATTTCCAGTGGAGGGAAGGGAAAGTATAACGGCCAGTTCAGTTTGGTGCATTCCAACTATAGTGAGCTTGGGGCGGCTTTAATGGGGGAGAAAGGATAGGAGATGAAGTCCAGTCAGAGGTATTGGTCTGATTTTTTTTTTAATTAAGATATAATTCACAGGTCATAAAATTAACTGTATGAAAGTGGCCTTTAGTACATTCACAATTTTGTGCAATGAGCACCTGTCTAGTTCCAGAACATTTCCATCGTCCCAAAAGACCTCAGCCCCCTCCCCCAGCCCCTGACCCCCAATCTGCTTTCCATCTCTATGCATTTGCCCATTCTGGATATTTTGTAAAAACGGAATCATGTGTTATATGATCTGGGGTATCTGCCTGCTTTCACTCAGCCTGATGTTTTTGAGGTTCATCCATGCTGTAGCATGAATCAGCGCTTCATTCCTTTTCGTGGCTGAATTATATTCCATAGTGTGGATGACCACATTTTGTTTATCTAACACCAGTTGGTGGGTATTTCCACTTTTTGGCTATTGTGAAGAGTCCTGCTATGAACATTTGTGTACAAGTTTTGGTGTGGACATAGGTTTTCATTTGTCTTCATATATGCCTAGAAGTGTAATTGCTGGGTCGTATGGTAATTCTGTTTAACTTTTTGAGGAACCACCAGCCTGCTTTCCACAGTGGCTGAATCATTTTACATTCCCACCAGCGATGTACGAGGGTCCCAATTTCTCCACATTCTTGCAAATACTTGTGATTTCCCTTTTTTTTTTCAATTCTAGCCAACCCAGCAAGTGTGAAGTGATACCTCATTGTGGTTTTGATGTTGAACATCTTTTCATGTGCTTATTCATCATATTTATGTCTATTCAGATCCTTTGCCCATTTTAAAATTGGATCACCTGTATTTTTATCGTTGAGCTGTAATTTATATATTCTTTATATCTTTATATTTTCTGGATACTAGATCCTTATCAAATGTATGATTGGCAAATATTTTTTCCCATTTTGTTGTTGTCTTTTCATTCTCTTGATAGTGTTCTTTGATGCACAAAAGTTTTCAATTTTGATGAAGTCCAATTTATCTATGTTTTCTTTGGTTGCTTGTGATTCTGGTGTCATATTTAAGAAATTATTATCAAATACAAAGTCATAAAGATGCACACCTATGTTTTCTTCTAAGACTTTAATTTGGTTTGACTGTGAGGGCAGTGGGAAGCCATGGAGGGTAATAAATGGCAGGAGATGATCTGAGTTACACTTTAGTAATCCTCCCTGTGGCTGGGCATAGAGAACATCTGGGGTGGGTGCAGGATAGCAGGAGGGAAAAAGAACTGGCAACTGTACATGTCTGGGTGAGCAATAATGGAGAAGTGGGCTAGGCCCTGGCCATGGAGATGGGAGCAAGTGAACAGACTGGGAGGCTTTTGGACTCATGCCCACCTCTCCCATCCCCAGCCCTGGAATGGACCCTGGTCGACCTGCCTTAGCTGATAACTTCTACGCCATTTCCTATCTTTATTACGGTGCCCTGGGCACACTGAGCACTGTGTTATGTGGAGCCCTCATCAGCTGCCTGACGGGTAAGCAGGGCATATGCCTCCCTCAAAGGGCATCCTGTCCATCCCTGTGCCTCCAGGACCCACCAGACAGGGAAAGGAGGGAGGACACTCCTGTAGGCCAAGCAGCGCTGCATGCTGAACACGTCTGCACCTTCGTGCTGCACCGCCTTCAGGACAACACTGCACCTCCAGGGCTTGTTCTATTTTGCAAAGGCAGAAACTGAGGCGCCCCCTACCGCCTCTCTATTCCCTCCCTGTGCCCCAAAGACTAAATCCTTGCTAGAGTCTGAGGGGGTGGGAGGGTGGGGGCACTGTCCTTTGTGCTGAGATATCAGGGCCTTGGTGACTCTCGGAATTGGGAATCCCACAGAAAAGTGGAAAGAGATCAAGAGAAACCTGCTTCCTGAGTATCAGACTGTCCATTTCCCAGGCCTTTATTGAGTCCTTCTCTGTGATGAACACTATTCTGGACTCTGGGACACAGCAGTGCATGGCATCACGTGCTGTATCCTCCCGGCCATCCACTGATGTTGTATTACAACTTCTCATTGTGTAGATGAGAAAACTGAAGGGCAGAGGCTTGTCAGCATCCCCAGTGGGTCACTGTTGGATCTGGGGTTGAAACGCATCTGAGCTCTGCCATCCCCTCCCCAGGACCTGGTCTCCAGTGCCCACTGCCCCTGCACTAAGTACCTTCACTTATCTCTGCCTTTCAGGCCCCACCAAGCGCAGTGCCCTGGGTCCTGGGCTGCTGTGGTGGGATCTTGCACGACAGACAGCATCGGTGGCCCCCAAGGAAGAAGTGGCCGTCCTGGATGACAGCTTGGTGAAGGTTCGTCTCAGAGCTGGGCTCCCAAAGCAGGGGGAGGGGCAGTGATGTGGCTTCGGGTGCTCCGGGTACAGCCATACTTGGGGGGCTGATGTGGCAAGTCACCCTCATTCTCAACCTTTTGTTACCCCTCCATGAAAAGTCTAATTTAGGAGCATATGTGTCTTCAACACTTTTCATTGGCCCCTTTAACAAAGACTGAGCAGAATTTCACTCTATGTATTCATTTTCCTCATATCTGTTTTTACAATTACTTCCACTCCTTGGCAGGTGAAACTGGTTTGCCTTTAGGGTATTGAGGGTATTGATATAAAGTCTCTCTGAAAATGAAATGACTTAATTTTACTTAAGTTGACTAAGTGAGTCAACTTAGAGAACATCTTACATCAGAAACATGACAGGGGGTAGCCCATCTTCAGCCGAAGCCATGTAGTTGCTATGTGAATGCAATGCCTGGGGGGCCTAACCCAGGCCTGCCCCTGCTTTGGATTCTGTGCTTCATTCTATCACTTCTGAAGCACCTGCTGTGTACCCAGCCCTGCTGTGGGGTCCCAGCCCACTGTCTAAAGGGAACAGACAGAGCTAAGAAGAGAAGGATCTCAGCAGGTGATGAGGAGTAGGACAATAAAATAGGATGTTGTGATGGGGTGGCCTGTTGGAAGAGGTAACTGTTGACAGAGTGCAGAATGAGGAGAAGGAGCCAGGCATAGAGAGATCTGGGGCAAGGGCATTCTTGGTGGAGGGCAGAGCAGGTACAAAGGCCCTGAGGCCAAAGCAGCCTTGACAGGTGGAGGACTGGGGAGGGAAGAGATTTGGCTGAAGTGTTTTTAAAGCTCCCTCCAGCTGCTGTGGGGAAATATTTATTTTCCTGGAGGGAAACAGAATCAGATAGAGGAGAGAGGCAAGCATCTGTGTTAGCACTGATGGCCTGGGCTGTGGGGTACATGGAAGCTTTCCAGGCAGAGGGGACAGGACTGGCTGGTGCACTGGACAAGGGGGTATTGTGCAATCCTGGCCAGGTTCTGCCCTCTCCAGCCCTCCATGTCCCTATCTGGAGGATGCGTGACACAGCAGAAGTGGGCGCTCTGATGGGTCTTTCTTGCCCAACCCCCTCAGGGTGCCGAGGGTCTGCCCCCTGGAGCCAACAGTTCTCGTGACTTCCTTCCCACTGAGGAGAACAATCTGCTCTTCCTGGGGCAGAAGGAGGTGAATGGAGCCGACTCCTGGACCCCTGACAGTGGACAGGTCAGAGGTCATGAACTGCAGGAGACAGATCTCTAAGCCAGCCCGGGACTGCCTGCCTGGGGTGGCATCTCAGGGTGGGCCAGTCCCAGGCTACAGGCCAATAGCCTCAGGCTCCCAAGGCAGGGCTGCATGTCTCTCCCCACACCCCCCACCCCATCCCACCCCCCACCATGGGAAGAGGCAAAGCCCCACTCTAGGGGGTCGCTTATCCAGCCCCCTGCTTCCAGGCAGCCCCTAGTGTTAGCTGTTGCATGCCTGCCCACTCCCCCACAAAACAAGGCTGGGTTTTTCTCTACCTGCAACAGAACGATGTTGGAGTCCCCTCTGGATAACATGGGAAAACTCCAGGCTCAGCATTAAGGTCTGAGATAGTCTCCATTTCTTCCCAGGCACATGTCTGAACCTTAGCAACAATTTCGGAGGTCCTCAGGTCCAACCCCCAGAGCCCCATTTCACAGGTGGGGAAACTGAGGCCTGGAGAGGGGCAGCAACTTGGCCAGGGTCACAGAGCAAACCAGAGACTCATCGAGAGTTGGACACCCTTCCTTCACCCGCTGTTTTCCTTCCTTTGGTGGGTCAGATGTGACATGACCCCTGACCTCAGGAGCAGGAGGAAAGGAGGAAGGAGAAGTAACGTTTCCAGACTCCCGCCAGTGCTTGGACATTTTATCTATCTCACCCATCAAGGACTCTGAACCCATTTTACAGAGGGAGAAACTGAGCTCATTTTACAGAGCTCAGTGAGGTTGCCTGAGGTCACCCAGCCAGTCAGGTCTGGGCAGGGACAAGCCTGGGCACTGCATGATGCTGAGGCTCCAATGCCCTCAGGGTCACTGGTGTATAGGGTCAGGTGGGTGCCCTGGAGTCATGCCAGACCCTTGGTTGGAGGCTTCATCATGCACATCAAATAAACAGACACTGAGGCGTGATGTTCTGTGCTTTCTGAAAAATGTTAGCATTGCTTCTTCAGTTACATCTGCGTGTGAATCTGTCTCTTGCCCCAAGCCTATGACTGAATGCACGTGAGTAGTTCAAGCATCAGAGTGAGGTGATCACTCCAACACTGGGGTGCATTGTGCCACACTACTGGATGTGTATCTTCCCTCACCTTCTGACTCGCTCCTGAAACATCACCTCCTCACTGCGCTTTGCGCTGGACCCCGCCAGCCTCCATGGTGTCCCCTCACCAGCCTCGGGTCTCTGCCCATGCACCTGTCACGGCTCCCGTGGCCCCTGGGGGAGCGTCCCCTGCTTGTCAGTAGTTGGGGTTCCTGTACTGGGTTCAGTAGGATTCCCCCAAATCCATGTCCAACCAAAACCTCAGAATGTCAGCTTATTTGAAAATAGGGTCTCAGCAGGTGTGCTTGGGTAAATTAGGATAAGGTCATACTGAATTAGATGGGTCCTGAATCTAATGGCTGAGCCCTTCTAAGAAGAGCAGAAGAGACACAGATGCAGGCACATAGGGAGAAAGCCATGGCGACACAGAGGCAGGGACTGGAGGGATGCATCTGAAGCCAAGAGTCCCCAGGGACTGCTGGAGCCGCCAGAAGCCAGAATGGGGGGCATAGCAAAGAGCCTGTCTGAGAGCCTTCAGAAAGAGCCCAGCCCTGCCAAAACCTTGACTTCAGACTTCTGGTCTCCAGAACTATGAGAGAATAAATGTCTATTGTTTTCGTCTAAGGCAGCCTCAGGAAACTAGCACACCCCTGCCCATTGGGAGGGGTGCTCAGTGACCTGGCCCTCTGTGCAGGCTGTTTGGTGGAGACCTTCCACTGGTTGATAGTCCTTGCTCAGAGCAGAACCCACCTTGGGGGTAGCTAGAGGTGTGAGGGGCAGGGGCGGGGCTAAGACTCCCCTGAGCAGAGCAAGCTGCTCTGGCTGGTTTTTTAGAGACCATTCATGGTGTCACATGTATCAATAATCCATCCCTTTCTATTGCTGAAAAGTATTCTGGTGTACAGGTGACCCACAGTTTGTTCATCCACTCACCATTTCGACCCTGAAAACAGCCAGTTATTTTACCAGCAAAATGGGTTTATGGCAGCAAAACAGGAATGGCAAAGGAATTGCAATTCGGGACACCCAAGCTATGGCAAAACCATAGGCAAGTTGGGAGAACAAAGGAGAAGAACATTACATTCTAGAGAAAAAGGAGGAAGTTGGGAGGGTCTGCTTTGAACCAATGCCTGCTGGCAGTGCAGAAAGGTGAGAGTTCAGGGTAGTGATGGTTTCTCATTGGCTGAGTCTGACAGTCTCTCATTGGCTGGTCCGTTGCCTAGAAGGAAGAAAATCTTCATTCCTTCCGTAAGAGTAATAAAATATGCTTCTTCCTGTTGTAAAATGTAAGGTACATACCTCCCTGTGGTGGTCTACAGTTGACATCAAGTGGTAGGGCATGAAAGCTTTATTCTTCTGGCTTCCTGACTCTATTTTAAATAAGGTTTCCTTTTTCAGTTTCGCATTTACAACTTTTGATCAAGCTCTTCCCTTGAAAGCACCACTAAGCAAGAGGTGAGTTATCTATGTCCCTCAATACCAGGAAGCCATTTCCCGACTGTCAGGTCCCATGCTGCGGGAAAAGTGCACAGCGGTGGGAAACCACTGCAGGCCACAGTTGCGCAACAAGGAAGGATGGATGAGAGAACTCTCAGGTACTTCCCACAGCAAGTCTATTTCTTGCTGAGGTCATGGGTGTTGGAAATCATCCTGAATACTTTGTGCAACTGGGTGTCTATTGCTCACAGAGGAGTTTATCCATGTGCAGAAGGTGGTGTTTGCTATCACACGGATGCCTCCTTGTTCAGCAAGCAAGGTAATCGAGAGCTATGCATTGTCCAAAACTATTTTGGCACATGAGTCAAGTGATCATTGGGCTGCTGCTGCTCTGGCTGTGGAATTGACCAGCTCCCCTCATGTGAGGGGGGATTTTTAATCAGGTGTTCCTTAACTCCAATGAAGGGAGAACAGTTCTCCCTATGGAGGTAAGCCTAGACTCATTTTAGATGGCCATGAGGTGGACCAGTGGGAAAGCTGCTGTGTTGTTATGAAGAGAAAAGAGAACAGAAAATTCAACAAGAGCACATTGCCCTTTATCCTCCAGCTTTCAAGGCAATGAGTTGCCCAAGGGTAGGGGCCATTACCAAAACCTCCACCTGTAAAAAAGTAGCCAGAAGATGCACATAGGTCTCCCTTTTAAGTATTAGCATTTATGGACCCATTTGCGGGTATAGAGGCATTAGCCTCATTCAGCCAAGACTCAAATACCATATTATCACATAATGAAAGTCTTTCTAATTATATGGATATGACAGCCAGCTTACAAGATGGGTAAGACAGGACTGACTTAAAATGGCTATTCTACGGTGTCTTTTACATATATTTGAGAGATCTTGTTTCTCCAAACCTGGGTTACATTGAGGCAAGAAACAGGGTGTGTGGATTTAGTATTCTATTCTAACCTTATAAAAGGGACACATGGGACAATTTAGGCATGCTGGGATTGCTGCAAGATCTCTTAAAGGGTGAACTGTTGTTATGGAACAGATCAGGATTTCTGTTACCAAATGCAGTAGTCAGAGAGGTTACCCTCTGTTGGAATGGATTGGGAAATGTGGATAAGAGCATTATCTGCCTAAGGAGGAGTGGGAGAAAATAGGTTCAGATGCAGAAGTGAGAAAAGGGTATACAGGTCTGGTCAAGGCACCCTGGGAAAGCTGTCTCCATCAGACGCAATCTGCTTCAATTCCTGGACATTTTTACTTTGAGGCTGCCAATCCAGGTGCAGGTTCAGCCAGGTTGGGTGCTTTCTTAAATGCGTCACTTGAATCCAAGAGTCTCTTCCCTTAAGTTTGGCAGCACCATGGTTGATTTACCCTCCCTGGTAGGTGCTTGCAATGACGTGGGGCCAAGTCCTTTTGGAGGTGTCTTTTCCAATAGAGGAAACCTCTAGGTCACAAAGTGGGATGTTTAAGGTCTACATCTCCTGGGAGCGCACTGTGAAAGACTGCTCTACTGAAGGATGGTTATTCTCGACAGAAGTGATTAGTCCTTTACAGGACTGAAGTCTATCCCCTTTTGCTGACTCTGGGTCAAAGGAGGCAGGGGCCAAGTGCATTGGATGTCCTGGGACTATTTCAAAGGGTGAGAGTCCATGGTTCCAGTGGGGTGGAGCTAAGATTTAGAAGGACCAAAGGCAGTGCTTTTGGCCAGGATATTTGAATGGTGTCTACATATTTCTCCAGTTGAGTCTTAATAGTGCCACCACTGTGTTCGGCTACCCCTGAGACCTGAGGACGGTAAGCACTGCGCAAGGGTAGAATCAGCCAAACAGCACAGACTTGTCAAAGACCTTGGCAGATGAAGTGAATCCCCCAACACTGTGAAGCTCAAGAGGGATTACCCAGGCATGCAATGATCTTTTCTAACTGGACTGTAGCCACAGAAGATGCTGTAGCCTGTCTACAAGGGTAAGCCTTAGTCCAGAGAAAAAACACACAAGCCATGACTAAAAACATATTTATATCCACGATATGGGGAGAGCTGCATAAAATCTATTTACCAAACCTCAAATGTCCAATGGACAATTTAAAATATCTGGGACTATGATTTCCTTCATTTGTGGAGTATAACAATAAAGCAAAACTGAAGGAACAAAACAGCAGCAGACTCACAGACTCCAAGAAGGGACTAGCGGTTACCAAAGGGGAGGGGTGGGGGAAGGTGGGTGGGAAGGGAGGGAGCAGGGGATTGTGGGGTATCATGATTGATGCACATGGTGTGTGGGAATCATGGGGAAGACAGTGTAGCACAGAGAAGGCAAGTAGTGACTCTGTGGCATCTTACTACAATGATGGACAGTCACTGCAATGGGGTATGGGGGGCACTTAATGATATGGGTGAATGATAGAAGGAGAGATGGCTCACTGAAAAGTATTGAGTGTGATGAGAATTTAGGAGGGCTTCTACTACATGGGCTATTAGAGGTCCCATGATTATTTCTTCACTGGCTGTAACAAAAAGGGCTGTGGCAGGAATGGCTCTGAAGCAGGGTCCAGTTGATGGCTATGCTACCCTTCTGGGTTGATGACAGTCTCCATATTTTGGGGTGAGTACTCTAAGGGCATTCCCTTCCCTCTCACATGCAAAGAGGAAAAGGGGGAGGTGATACTTAGGATTTCCAAGGGTGGGGGCTTTATTAACCTTTTCTTTAAGGCTCCAAAGGCTATGTCATCCTGAGTTTGTAGGTTTTGAATACAATATATAGGGATTAGGCCATAATAGAAAAATTTGGAATGCAGTTTTGACAGAAGCCAACTAGACTGAGAAAACCTCATAATTGGTCCTTAGTTTTGGGTTTGGGAAAGGTCAG